TGAGGGGTCAACTGACCTAAATAGAGACCTCGTGCAGGGAGTTTTGTTTTCCCTTAGTGAACCTGGATCTATGATGGAATAAACCTAAGCAGATGTTAGTAAGAGGCCTTCAACCTGGAATGTGCTGGTATCAGGGGACCACATTGACAGCAATGCTTTTCTTCGAAGTCGCAGAACATCTGCCCGAGAGTTTACAGCAAGTAAACGCGAAAATGAAGTAGAGACACCGCCATTCAATTGCCGGTTAAACCCACCGCTATTGGAATGTCCGGTAATCCCATCGCCTATCGAATACCAGTTAATCCCACTGCTAATGTAATGCCTGGTAATCCGATCACCAGTCGAACGTTAGTTAACCCAATCACCAGTCGAACGTTAGTTAACCCAACCACCAGTCGAACGTTAGTTAACCCAACCACCAGTCGAACGTTAGTTAACCCAACCACCAGTCGAATGTTAGTTAACCCAACCACCAGTCGAACGTTAGTTAACCCAACCACCAGTCGAACGTTAATTAACCCAACCACCAGTCGAACGTTAGTTAACCCAACCACCAGTCGAACGTTAGTTAACCCAAACACCAGTCGAACGTTAGTTAACCCAACCACCAGTCGAACGTTAGTTAACCCAACCACCAGTCGAACGTTAGTTAACCCAACCACCAGTCGAATGCAGTTAACCCAACCACCAGTCGAACGTTAGTTAACCCAACCACCAGTCGAACGTTAGTTAACCCAACCACCAGTCGAACGTTAGTTAACCCAACCACCAGTCGAACGTTAGTTAACCCAACCACCAGTCGAACGTTAGTTAACCCAACCACCAGTCGAATGCAGTTAACCCAACCACCAGTCGAACGTTAGTTAACCCAACCACCAGTCGAACGTTAGTTAACCCAACCACCAGTCGAACGTTAGTTAACCCAACCACCAGTCGAACGTTAGTTAACCCAACCACCAGTCGAACGTTAGTTAACCCAACCCACCAGTCGAACGTTAGTTAACCCAACCACCAGTCGAACGTTAGTTAACCCAACCACCAGTCGAACGTTAGTTAACCCAACCACCAGTCGAACGTTAGTTAACCCAACCACCAGTCGAATGCAGTTAACCCAACCACCAGTCGAACGTTAGTTAACCCAACCACCAGTCGAACGTTAGTTAACCCAACCACCAGTCGAACGTTAGTTAACCCAACCACCAGTCGAACGTTAGTTAACCCAACCACCAGTCGAACGTTAGTTAACCCAACCACCAGTCGAACGTTAGTTAACCCAACCACCAGTCGAATGTTAGTTAACCCAAACAACAATGACCAGGACAATATGGTAAACAGTCTAAAGACGTGCCAGTTTGTCATTCACTTATTATTGTTAATTTCACCTTGTTTTCCGAGTCAATTTAGAAATATCCCAAAAAGTAAAAGTGACTCTCGTTACACCGACCACATCACCCATGGAGGTCCGACTAGTCTTTATAAACTGGGACAGGCACCATGTGCCAACAATTTGTAGCAAGGCTTTAAATTGTTTGTTTTTATATTTTAAACAATAGCACAAAACAAGAAGCACCCTCCATACTAGCAATTACATCTTAACAAAGGATATAAAGCATTTTCACAACAACAAAATATCTACGTTTACAGTGGACAATCATATTTAACGATGACATCAATCGACTTCTTTCTTCTTTTGTCCTGGCAGAGCGGAGATATATCTAGTTTCCAGTCAATTGCTAGTTTCACAACAAACAATCTAATTGAACAGGTAGAAACGATCAGCCAACTTGACCTTCACAGTGGGATCCAACCCGACCGCCCAGACAGGACATACAGTCGCCGGTACGTTTGTTACATCTATGATTCTCGCAGTTCACGGGACAGTTGTGGGTGCAGTTGTCACCGTAAAAACCAGGTGAACAGTCTGCAATCAAATAACAGCACACGGAAATAACAACCAACAATAACAACAAGTATAAAACGTTAGTTACAGCAGTGATCTTCACCCTAGCAAACCCCCCCCCCCCCACCCCTCCCACACCCCAGCAAAACCAACAGTCTCTTCTTTTTAAGGCGACGTCAGGAAGTTTCAAGGCAGGCGTCGAGCAGGTTTGAAAGTAAGTTCACCTGTACTTGTGGTAAAGATGAATTTAGCTTTAACAGTTATCAGAGAAGTCAGATTTGTAAAACGGATGCACACGCAACACTCAGGTTCTGGAACAGGACTGCAGTCCAGAAGTAGACAAACAACCAGACTTTACAGCAGGAGTTTACAGCTGGTGAACGCGAAGAAGAAGAAGATAAAAACCCTGTTGCCTTCTGGATGTTGAGAGTCATCTCACTTGTACATTGTCCAACATCGGGAGAGATCAAGCAGATATTATCAAGACACTTATTTACCAGTTGTTGGTGATTGTTCCTTTCGCTATTTGATACTTTTAATTATGCCAGTGTTTTTACTCAATGTTCTTGTTAACAGCAATTAGGATTTCTCTTTTTGTCCTACTCTTTTGAGTCACATTGTGTCATGTCAGGGCATGGGACTGGCGTATGGGGGGGGGGGGGGAAATACGGGGGGAGGGGGTGTCTTGCAATATATTCAAGGGCGCCACCTTAAAAAAGGTTGGAGACTGTTGCTTTGCAGCATGTTGCAGTGTTCACCCTATCATCTTTTGACTCCGTTTGTGAATTCACTCGGAAAATGTTTCAGTTCAGCAGTTTGCCATTACTTGCTCTCGATACCACTGCTGAAACCAGCACCAGGCGGTATGCTGCCAAATCACCCGCAGCTGGGATCGAACTTGGGGTTCCGGGGATCCCGGGGTTCACCCAGCCTCTAGGAAATGGGTACCAGAGTTGACACTCTGGGGCCAATAGAGGGACGTCGCTGTAGCCATAGAGTTACGTGCGGACGGCGACACAGGCGGACAATTTGTATCAGCTGTCCGAACTGATGGGAGAGCACTTATGGTTTATAACTGTGTGCAATGACGCTGTTCACATCTCCCAACTTTACCTTTATCTTTGCGGAACAATAAAGCGCGTTCGCAACGCTTAAGCTACTGACGCCTACGACAACTAATAGCAAACAAACAATTCACATCTAATGCCAGATCGTTACAGTTATATTGAGTAGAAAATTCAGCGGTTTAAATAAGTATTAATAATCTACAAAGGATCTCAAGTTAATTGCTAAACAAGTAACTGACACCAATTTTCAATTATTTACTCTAGCGGCCCACAGGCATGCCTGTAACCTCAAGGATATTCTATGTAAGAGTCGGTTACGTTCTGCCTCCTAGTCCCACTTCGGGGCGGTCTCTTGCCAGAGACCTGTATGCAGGACCTGCCCATGTGTGGGTTCAGGGTAGCAGCATTGAATTCCCGAATGCCACCGTGCACATACGTAAAGAATGCTATTGCAAAAGCCGTAAATTAATTTACTCCATCAACTGCAAGAGATGTGGCATTAAATACAACGGTTTACGACCGGATGACAGGTTCGGACAACATCTTTTGGACGTGCAGAACGGGGCCCTGAAACTAGTACCAGTGCATTTCAATGCCCATGACCACCAAGGAGTCCACAATATGGAGCTGACAGCTATTTAATCTAGCCTCTCCAGCGACAGAGTTCGCCAGTCTCTTGAAAATCGTTTTATAAACATTTAAGGAACTCTGATTTCTTGGCGAATCAGAGTTCCTTAAATGTTTATAAAACGATGGGATGTTTATTTTCCCGGCCCCACGTGCCTTGGCAGACTGTTTGCTTGACATCAACCTGGTTGCCTCAAAATACGAAGATAAGTGACATTGCGTATTTGTGTAGTATTATCTTTTCTATGTGTGTGCTGAAGAAGGCTCCATAGCAGCGACGTTGACCTTTTGTTTTTCTTTGTTAAATTGTGAAGCTGGCTGATATACTTTTCGTTCTCTTTGATATCTTTCCCTAAGAGAGCACTGTTCAGTGCAGTTTTTTAAAACATTGTGTACCAGTGCCAAATTTTTACATTAACCAAAAAAAAAAAGAGGGGGGGGGTTGTGGGGGGGACAGTAAATTTGAAGCATCAGAGCTGAAATGTTTACAACAGATCATCAGTGTAACGAGGCAGGATCAGAAAGGACGATACCTGAAGACAAGTGGAGACGGAACCAATATTCCACTATAAAGAGACAACAGGTCAAACAGTAATGTGGAAACGGACGAGAAATGTACAGGGCTGATTTACTAAATGCCCTCAGAAGGCGGCTCGATGAAACGAATCAAGTAATGCTTGTGAATCTGCAACACTGACAAGACTACACGAACATAACACCAAAAAGGGGTGTAGCCAGACTAGAGCTTTACACAAAAGCCCACAGAAGAACAGTAAACCAACACGGAACTGGTGTCATAAGCCACTACACGCTGGGGAAGATATGAAGACGGGATCTCAACTCGTATGGACTAAATGGTTCGATGTGTGATGATGATAATCTGTCAACTAACTAATTACCTAAGGTCAAATAGTTCAGGTATGCTAGAAGAATACACATATACTAATTGCACAAAATAACAATTGACAGAGTACAAACCTTCGCAAAGTGGTTCTTGAAAGTTTTCGCTGCAGGTGCACGCCCCATTCTCTATATTGCAGACGTCTAAACAGTTGAGCGAGCAATGCTTTTTACAATCCACTCCGTAGCTCCCCCGAGGACACTCTGCAAGAGACACCAGCTGTTTTGCTAAAGCTCTCAGCATACCTAGATACCTACCAAACCTTTGCATGTCAGTTTCCGAAGAAATCGCCCTGGCGTAAAGGCTAGATGCTAGCCTGGGGCCTGAAGTTGATGGGTTTATATTCACATCCAGTCGGACATTTCCTAAAAAATAACCTTGGCTCCCACGTACTGAAGCCTAAAACGGGTACCAGGTAAAGACATTGGAAGTAAACGCGGCCGGTTGACGTGTAATCTGTCTATGAGTACATGTATGGGTATGTATGTAATCTAGACGGTAGCCGGTTTACGTGTAATCTGTCTATGAGTACATGTATGGGTATGTATGTAATCTGGCCGGTAGCCAGTTGACGTGTAATCTGACTTAGAGTACATGAATGTGTATGTATGTAATCTGGCCGGTAGCCGGTTGACATGTAATCTGACTATGAGTACATATATGGGTATGTATGTAATCTGGCCGGTAGCCGGTTGACGTGTAATCTGTCTGAGTACATGTATGGGTATGTATGTATGCCTTTGGGTACGGATGTGTCAGTATGTGTGAGTGTATGTAAGTATGCAAGTGTGAATACTTGTGTGTGGTGCGTATGTGGGCGTTCATGCATTTATCGTCCATACTTTAAAATTTATTTTTGTTACTTAATTTACATATTTAGTTGACAATACATGAACATAAAATGCTTTTTTGATAAAATACAAATGTGGTCATTGAAATGAGTGTTTGGGGGGGGGGGGGTAGGGGCAGGGAAGGGAGATGTGAGAGTAGCCTGCGTACCCCTTTCGACAATAAAGTTCGTTCGATCATTGTCTCTCCTTCCCACTATCTCCCTCTCTTTTGTCTATGTATGTGTGCGCATAAGTGTAACACACGAGTGACTGTGCAACTCAAAGACTGACGTACCTCTCTGACATCCTTCCCCAGTACGTCCGGCCACACAGCGGTAGCAGCCTCCGAACCTCTGTTGACACTTGCCTTGATAGCAGAGCTTGCTGCAGTTGAACGTACAGTTGAACCCATACAAGCCAGCCTCACAGCCTGGAGCACAAGCCCCGGTCACCAGGTTACAAACCTCTCCTTCCTTACAGGTACAATTGCCTTTACACTGCACTCCGTACAATCCGTCTGGGCAGATGGTCTCTGTTTAATAATATTAGGCAACAATTGTACTGATCTCTGGTCGATTTGGCAAAGGTACAAATACAGTAAAGGACACTGTCCACGCCTACTGGACATATAAGGCTATCCCAATATTTCTTGAGATCACAAGACACTCAGCGGTTGATGTGGTCAACATCTCCCCGACTGCCTTTACTTCTCAGGACTATACCTGGTACTCACTCAAAGCTGGGGTGGGCCCAGCAGCCAAGGTTATTTTTTTTTTTAAACAGTCTGGCTCTGCCAGGAACCGAACCCACAACCTTCCGCGAGTGTCTATGACTAATGTAGACTTTCAACAAGGGTATTATCAATGTTAAGGTTCACTCTTGTCAGTAGGGTAGCTCTTGTTGTTGAGACATTAAAGCTAGATTTGTGCCCTTGTCCACACAATATCACCACTGAAAAATACGTCACCTCGAGGACTTTGCAACCTTCTGTTTTTTTTTTTTTTTTTAGATCACCAGGGTGAAAGGGATAAAATAATCCAAATAATAACAATAATAATAGCAATCAGACACAGAACAGTAATAAAACTATATTTGAGAAAGACAGGTAAGCGATTCTACCTAAAAAGCAGTATAATGATCTTACCACAAGGTGGGGGGGGGGGGAAATCCCGCACAGTATCATTGAATTAATGCTACAGCAACATTTGTAAAACGACCCCTATATAAAAGTAGTAAAATGATTCTACAGGGTAAACAAAAATTTTATAAACAGAACACAGAAACAGAAAGATCTGACCTTACTGTCATGTGCTTTATGTCTGTCGTCGGGGGCCCTAAATATAACCTAACGGTTGAACGCACCTAGTTCCACCTGGTGTTTATCGCTTCTTGAGGGATCAAATAATCAATCGACGTTATTTGCAAGAATGCAAAAAAGAGTTTATCAGTTACCGATCTTAAATAAAGACAGATGGATACAAAGAGACAAAATAGAGTTAATTAGTTACCGATCTTGAATAAAGAGAGATGGATACAGAAAGACAAAATAGAGTTAATTAGTTACCGATCTTGAATAAAGAGAGATGGATACATAAAGACAAAATAGAGTTAATTAGTTACCGATCTTGAATAAAGACAGATGGATACAAAGAGACAAAAAAGAGTTAATTATTTACCGATCTTGAAAAAAGAGAGATGGATACAGAAAGACAAAATAGAGTTAATTAATTACCGATCTTGAATAAAGAGAGATGGATACAAAAAGACAAAATAGTTAGTTACCGATCTTGAAACAAATAGAGATGGATACAAAAAGACAAAATAGAGTTAATTAGTTCCCGATCTTATATAAAGTGAGATGGATACAAAAAGACAAATTAGAGTTTACTAGTTAACAACAGTCATCAACAAAGATGTTAGACAGCAAATTAGAGTTCACATGTAAATACATAATTATACACAAACAGTCGCAGACGCCAAATGACAGTATAGAATTTATTAGTTCATAATCTTGGATAGAGAGACTACGAGAAACAAATGTGATTCGTTAGTTCACAATCTTGGATAGAGAGACTACGAGAAACAACTGTGATTCGTTAGTTCACAATCTTGGACAGAGAGACTACGAGAAACAATTGGGATTCGTTAGTTCACAATCTTGGATAGAGAGACTACGAGAAACAACTGTGATTCGTTAGTTCACAATCTTGGATAGAGAGACTACGAGAAACAACTGTGATTCGTTAGTTCACAATCTTGGACAGAGAAACTACGAGAAACAATTGTGATTCGTTAGTTCATAATCTTGGACAGAGAGACTACGAGAAACAAATGTGATTCGTTAGTTCACAATCTTGGATAGAGAGACTACGAGAAACAACTGTGATTCGTTAGTTCACAATCTTGGACAGAGAAACTACGAGAAACAATTGTGATTCGTTAGTTCACAATCTTGGACAGAGAAACTACGAGAAACAATTGGGATTCGTTAGTTCACAATCTTGGATAGAGAGACTACGAGAAACAATTGTGATTCGTTAGTTCACAATCTTGGATTGAGAAACTACGAGAAACAATTGTGATTCGTTAGTTCACAATCTTGGATAGAGAGACTACGAGAAACAATTGTGATTCGTTAGTTCACAATCTTGGATAGAGAGACTACGAGAAACAATTGTGATTCGTTAGTTCACAATCTTGGATAGAGAGACTACGAGAAACAATTGTGATTCGTTAGTTCACAATCTTGGATAGAGAAACTACGAGAAACAATTGTGATTCGTTAGTTCACAATCTTGGATAGAGAGACTACGAGAAACAATTGTGATTCGTTAGTTCACAATCTTGGATAGAGAGACTACGAGAAACAATTGTGATTCGTTAGTTCACAATCTTGGATAGAGAGACTACGAGAAACAATTGGGATTCGTTAGTTCACAATCTTGGATAGACAGACTACGAAAAACAAATGTGATTCGTTAATTCACAATCTTGGACAAACAAGACGAAAAGACAGTTAGACAAACAAAGTTCATATGTCTCACCTCCATAAGTGATCACCTCACACAGGATCAGGGAGATGTCAGTAGCGCCGAAGAAGGGAGGTCGGAATATTCTCAAGGAGCCCACTAACTCGCGGGATTTAAGGCTGACGTTGTAGACCTCAGAGAAAGTGTTTGGATCCACGTAACGTTCCGTGATGTTTTTGTACTGGTCGAATATTTCCAGGATAAAGCCGTGCAGTACTGATGTTTGCGCTGAAAATTCCACATGCAATTGACAGTTTTGGCCCAAGCGTTTAAAGCCTTGTTTAAGTACGCAGTAACAGTAATGATAAATAATTTGCTTAGGAGGGCCACGCGGCAAGTTTTCCAGGAATAACTGGGATGGGGGGGGGGGGGGGGGGGGGGGTCCTGATTATTTTGTGTGTGTCTGTGTGTGTGTGTGTGTGTGTGTGTGGGGGGGGGGGGGTTAAGGGCTTCAATGTGCGTGATCCACGAGATATTAGAGAACTTTAGACAAATCATCTCAAGATACCTTTCAGACATGATTGGCGTCTTGTATCCACTAAACTAATAATACTATTCTTCGCGTCGACCGACTGTAACCAGAGGCATACATGTCTGCTTGTTTCGTTTCACTACTGGATTTGTGTCTTGAACTAAACCTTAAGTTTTGCGTGCACGTTCGTTTTACCGATCTGGCTTATCTATGTGCAGAGCGCAGGTTCCTTGGCTCTCAGGCAGACGTACTTTGACGAAAACACCACACCCAGAATTAGTCGCCTCCTATGCCATGCTTCCTGGATAGCTGGGGGGAAGGGGAGAGGGGGGAGGGCAGTGACGCTATTATTTGTTCTCCAAAATGTTGCCCTTGATCCACAAGGGGAACAGTAACAATAATGTACTTTATCTAATGGTCTTGACTGCACAAGGGGTCATCTCTAACTGCTCTTCCACCTCATTTCTTTTTTCATCATCATTATTCTTCCTGTTCTTTTTCTCTTCCTTTCTCTCCTCCTCCTTTGTTGTTGTTTTTTTTTTTTTTAAGATTTTAAGTTTTTTGTGTGGGTCAACACAGTCAGTTCTCATCATTATTTTCTCAAACATCGACTCTCTCTTGCTGCAAGTCTCTTCACAATTCGTTACCTAATGCCTCAGTTCGTTCATTGTCCATTTCTCATTTTAAGACCAAATTCATTGCACACTGGACATGACCATAAGTGCTCCGATTTTCTCCCGATGATTTTTCCCACGTGTTTTTTTAGGCTAACAACTCCCATTCTGTTCTGGTCAATGTAACGACAGGTAGCTCCCGCGTAGTTTTGCTGTCTCGCTGTTCCAACTGCTACACCCAGGGTATGCAGTCTATTCAGTGAACAATCGTTTTTCTCGAAAGTGAAAGCCTCACAGCGTTGAGTCTCTCGTATGGCACTGATGCTGTCTCTGTCTCTCCTTGCCTAGCATGTGCCGTTCTCAGCTGAAAACATGCTGGTCGGCCTGTACAGACGAATGATGAGACTGACATGCACATGAGAAACGCAACAGAAATGGAGCCACACAGAGCCACTAAGAACATTAACTATGTGCACAAGAAGAAGATAACTCACATTGCTGGAGCCTGTTCTTGTGTGAACCGCTCTGTGTTGATAACTGTGCTATTGGGTTGAACAGGGTTTCTAGGGTTTTCCCTCTTTGATTCTCAACTTTGAGATTTCAATCCTACAAATTTTAATATTGTAGGAGGAAACAAAGTTGAGAAGGCTGAGTGGGGGGGGGGGGGGAGTGGGACATACGTTGTGACCAATAGCATGATGAAAGGAATAGACAAAGGGGCGGTTTCAGAAAAATTTATTGGAACATCAGCATCACAATTGATTAACATGTGAAGAGACAGAAAGCTGTGGAAAACACGTGGACCAAAGTCACCTGTACCGCACCATACAAATATTGTAAAAGATTGTACCATAACTATTCCATAGTGTCTTCGTTTCTTGTCCTCTGAGAAAACCTTCATTTCTTTTCACCCACACAATTCCACTCATCCCTCATTAACAGGTGACACCTCTGTGAAGAAGTTTGTTGTGACGTCTGCAGAACGGGAAGATATTCATGGTCTTCTCCACCTTCCCCGTCTAATCTGCTGAGAAATCACAGTTCACCATCTAGGTGTGTGGGACACTTGCAACCTGACCTCCAGCTTCCTTCTAACACACGTGATGCCCCTGCACGCTCCAGCAGTGCTGTTTCCTTGGTTGTAGAGTGTCAGAGAACTTACGTCTGCCGTAATGGCATTTGGTTCGTGTTGTAGGGCCGTGATAGATAAACTATCCTAAACACACTAAGTTAAGACACCTATAAAGCATACAACAATCTTTAATGTACAGCACAATATTACAGACGGCAGTTCGCCTCTGAAGTCGCTGATACCCCTATACGAAACAAAGGTCACTCCCAGGCCAGCACGTTCCCATGGATAATACCTGCGTCCGAACGCACGCCGCTTCCGTACAGCTCTTTCTGCTATAACTGA